AAGGCTGCACTATACTAAATATAGAACCAATTTCCAAGGTGTACTGCTAAGTGTGAAAAGCATCAAATACCATTTCATTTTTTGGCCAGGTGCGGTGGCTCATGCCTGTAATCCCAGCACTTTGGGAGGCCAAGGCGGGTGGATCACAAGGTCAGGAGTTTGAGACCAGCCTGGCCAACATGGTGAAACCCTGTATCTACTAAAAACACAAAAATTAGCTGAGTGTGGCGCCGGGCACCTGTAGTCCCAGCTATTCAGGAGGTTGAGACAGGAGAATCGCTTGAACCCAGGAGGCGGAGGTTGTAGTGAGCCGAGATCACGCCGCTGCACTCCAGCCTAGGTGACAGAGCGAGACTCTGCCCCCACCAAAAAAAAAGCATCAAATACTATTTCATTTCAAAAAATTGTTTCCAATTTACTGGCTCTACTTCCTACCGAATAAAAATGTTAGATATTTAAGTATCTTCTCTTGTAAATTTTTTTTTTAATTTGTGGCCAAATTCAAGTAAATTTTTAATGTATCTCCCAACTGACTCCACAATCAGTGTTACAAAGGTGAATTAAATAATTTTACTACAAAATGTATATCAAGTCCGTAGTTATTTAACTGCAAATAAAGTGAAAATTACTGTCCAAACTAACTTCCTAAGGTAAGTAATAAAATCAGTAGGTATGAAATCCACTCTGGAATTATGTTCCATAGAAACAAGTTCAAAAGGAGACATATAGGCCAGACACAGTGGCTCACACCTGTAATTCCAGCACTTTGAGAGGTCAAGGCAGGTGAATCACCTGAGGTCGAGAGACCAGCCTGGCCAAATCCCGTCTCTACTCAAAAAAAGAAAAAAATTAGACAGGCATGGTGGCAGGTGTCTGTAATCTCTGCTACTTGAGAGGATAAATCAGGAGAATGGACTGAATCAGGAGGTGGAGGTTGCAGTGAGCCGAGATTCCACCACTACACTCCAGCCTGGGTGACAGAGTGAGACTCTGTCTCAAAAAAAATAAAACAGACATACACTGTTAAATTATAAAAGCTTATGACAAACAGACAGAGGTTCACAGCTATTGGTATAAACATTGAAAACCAAATGCTCAAAGGGAGATAGATGATTGTGCTGTTTCATAGACACAGGACAGTAGGTCATGAAAGGGCACCCAAACTCCCAGGCATCTGGAGGTCTCTCATTCAGAAGGCTCTTTTCACTCTTTCACTCAGCTTCTACCTTACCTGTTGTAAGACACACCAAAAGGAACTGTCACTCAGAAACACATGATTGGTAACCAGGGCTTTGGGTATGTCAGACCTGGGTTCAAATCCTAGCCTTGCAATTTTCTAGAGGAGTAATCTGACAAACCTCAATTCGCTTAAAGTAAAATGGAGGTCATCACCAACTAGTTAATGTTAGTAAATAAAAGCATAGTGTCTGAAAAAGTAAAAAGAAGAAGGAATTGTCTAAATAAGAAAATTAAAAATCCAAAAAATCAAATACTCCAGCACAGTTTGAAAAGAACCCAAAGGAAATCCACTCTAACAAACACTAAGCTGGAAGGGAGCCCTGAATTCCAAGATTTGGTTCTTCTGTCACCAGCTTCAAGACCCTGGGTTTAAGATCTACGGTACCAGGGACTGAAAATCCCTTCTGCCTGTGCCACAACACGACTAAATTACTAAGGATGCTACTTCCAAAACTTTCTAAGATTTTTCATTTAAAAGCTTTGGTTTTTCTGGTTTTGTTTTGTTTTTTTTGAGACAGAGTCTCACTCTGTTGCCAGGCTGGAGTGCAGTGGTTCAATCTCGGCTCACAGCAACCTCCACCTCTTGGGTTCAAGCAATTCTCCTGTCTCAGCCTCCCGAGTAGCTGGGATAATGGGTGTGTGCCCCCATGCCCGGCTAATTGTGTATTTTTAGTAGAGACGGGGCTTCACCATGTTGGCCATGCCGGTTTCAAACTCCTGACCTCAGGTGATCTACCTGCCTCAGCCTCTCAAAGTGCTGGGAACACAGGCGTGAGCCACCAGACCCGGTTTGCTTTTATATCTTTAGGTCCTAATCCGTTTTCATTATGACAGAACTGCCAGTCACAATATATACATAAGACTGTTTCCCTAACTAACTTGTCTAAGGTCAGATTGCTAAAAAGTAGCAAAATCAGAATTCAAAATGCCATCTACCTCCAAAGACCAAACTCTATGGCATGAATCTTCCTCAAACCTTCTGACTCATCTCCTGTAACTAGCAGCTTGCCTTTGCAAAGTAAGTGGAAGTCATCAGGAGTGCAGTTAGAAATCAGGGAACAGAGTATTGGGGCTTGAGCTTCTAACAGTACTCTAACCAACTTAATTATACATTTCAGCTACTTAAAAGGAGGCTGAGGAAACAAAAAAAAAAAAAAAGAAAAGAAGGCTCACACCTGTAATCCTAGCACTCTGGGAGGCCGAGGTGGGTGGATCACGAGGTCAAGAGATCGAGACCATCCTGGTCAACATGGTGAAACCCCGTCTCTACTAAAACTACAAAAAATTAGCTGGGCATGGTGGCGCGTGCCTGTAATCCCAGCTGCTCAGGAGGCTGAGGCAGAATTGCCTGAACCCAGGAGGCGGAGGTTG